GATGGTCAGAATTTCCATGGAAAAGGAGCTCTGAGGAGTAAGAAGGAGCAGACTGGGGAGGGGAAGGGGTGGGTACCTCTTAGTGAGGGTGTTGTGGGCAGAATAATGGCTCCTCAAGATGGCCATGGAATCTGTGGATATGTTACAGTACATGGCAAAAAGAACTTGGTGGACGGAATTAAGGTTAAAGACCTTAAGGAAGAGAGATTATTCTGGATTATTTTGCTGGGCCTAATGTAATCACATGAGCCCTTAAAAATGATGAAGAGGGCAGATGAGTTGGTCAGATTTAAATTGTGACAAGTACTTGATCCTCTGTTTCTGGCTTTGAAGATCCCTTCCTTTGGAAGGTCCCTTCCACCATCCAAAAATCCGAGGGATTCAGGTGACCTCTGGAAGCTGGGAATGACCCTCTGGATATAGCCAGCAGGAAAAACAGGAACCTCAGACCTACAACCACTAGGATCTAAATTCTGCCAACAACCCAAACGATCAAGGACACAAATTCTCTCCTAGAACCTCCAGAAAACACGGCCCTGCTGATGCCTTGATCTTAGCTCAATGAGATCCATGTTGGACTCTGAGGCTACAAAACAGTGATATCATAAATTTGTGTCCTGAGTCATTGAGTTCCAAGTAATTTGTAATGACTGTAATAGAAAACTAATAACAATGTTGCTATCAAGAGCAAAGTACTACTGTAACAAATTCTAAAAACGTGGAAATGGCTTTGGAATTGAGCAGTGAGCAAAAGCTGGAAGAATGTCAAAGAACATGATGGAAAAAGCCCAAACTGCCTTCAACTGTTAGGGGAAATCTTGACTTTAAAAATGCTGCCTGTGGGGACTCAGAAGGAAACGAGGAACATGTTATTGGAGATCAAGAGGAAGTAGGATGCTAAGTAGCTGTAGAGAGCTTAGTGGAATTGTGTCCAGGAGTTGGGTGGAAAGCAGAACTTGTAAGCAATGAACTTAGACATTAAGTAGCAGAGATTTCCAAGTAAAATGTTGAAAACAGAGCCTCAGCTCTTGTTAGTTATGGAAAAATGCAAGAGGAGGGAGGAAGATCGAGAGAAAAAGGGTTAAAACAGAACCAGGATATTGATATCGGAAATTCTTGGCCAACTGTCCAAAAAAACACTTTTCCCCAAATTACTGGCATTGATACAATTCTAATCAAACCAGGTTTTTCTTTTAGGTTGACAAAGTACTATTTTCATAAATAGTTTAGAACAGGGTGTGACATCAAAAAAAGATGACAGAGGGTGCCTGGGTGGCTCAGTCGTTAAGCGTCTGCCTTTGGCTCAGGTCATGATCCTGGGGTCCTGGGATCGAGCCCCGCATCGGGCTCCCTGCTCTCACTCTCCCTCTCCCACTCCCCCTGCTGTGTTCCTGCTCTCGCTATCTCTCTCTCTGTCAAATAGATAAATAAAATCTTTAAAAAAAAAAAAAAAAGATGACAGAGTAGGACTCTCCAGGAATCCTTCCCGCCACCAAAATAACTATTGAGCTAGCAGAGACTGTAGCAGGTTTTTGGAACTCTGAAGTCTAGTTGAACACTTGCAGCATCCAAGGGAGAGTTTAATGAAGAATTTAATTCAATGAATTTCCTTGTTTCAACTCCCACAGGCTGAGGCAGCTTCCCAGCTGCAGGGGATTTAAGTAGATCTCACTCCCCAACCCCCATCCCACCTTCCTTTTGGGAGCAGGACATTTAAGGAAATCTTTGTGAGGTCACTGGCTGGCCAAAGTGATAATAGAATAGAAACTTCAGTTACTGCACACAGCAAGAAATATACACTTTGTAAAAATAGTATGGAAAGATCATAAACAGATGGCTCCACCTCTCAACAAGCCGAAATCAGGATTCCCTGAAGAGTGAGAGAATTCAATTTCCAGAATTGCCACATGTCATACTCAGAATGTCCAGTTCTCAACAAAATATTATGAAACATGTTAAGAAATGGGAAAGTATGGCCTGTTTGCAGAGGAAAAAAAAAAAAAAGGAGCTTGACAGAAAACATCCCTGAATAAGCCCAGGCAGTGGAATTATTAGTGAAAGGAAACCATGGACAAAAAGCTAAAGGAAATCAGAAAAACAATGTCTGAATAAAATTAGAATATCACTAAAGAGAAAATTTTAAATGGATCCAAGAGTGCTGCAGCTGAAGACTACAATAATGGAAATGGAGTATTAGAAGGGTTCGACGACAGACTGGAGCAGGCAGAAGAAAGGATCAGTGAACTTGAAAGTAATAAAAATGAAATTATCAAGTCTGAGGATCAGAAAGAAAAATGAAGAAAAAATGTGCAGATCCTGTAGAACACCATCAAGCAGAACAATATATGCATTGCGGGAGTTCTGAACAGAGAAGAGAGAGAGAAAGGGGCAGGAAAAAACATTTGAATAAGTAATGGTCAACTCCTCCCCCCAAATCTGATGAAAAACATGAGTACACACATCCAAAAAGGTTGGTTTGGTGGTTTGAAGCTTAGCATAAATGACTCCACTTTGGGCCTCTTGTTTTTAACGATAAATATTGTATGATCCCACTTGTACAAGATATTTAAAATAGGCAAGTTTATAGAGAGAGAAGGTAGAATTGAGATTACCAGGGGCTGGAGGAAGGAGGAGATAGTGAATTATTGCTTAATGGGTACAGTTTCTGTTTTGGATGATGACAAAATTCTGGAAATAGATAGTGGTGATGGTGGCACAATATTTTGACTGTTATCAATGCCACTGAATTGTACACTTAATGATAGTTAAGATACTAAATTTTACATAAATGTTAGCACAATTTAAATCTAAAATTAAAACAAAACAAAACAAAACAAAACATGGGCGCCTGGGTGGCTCAATCAGTTAAGTGGCTGACTCTTGATTTTGGCTCAGGTCCTGATCTCAGGCTCCTGGGATTGAGCCCTTCATCCAGCTCAGCACTCAGTGGGGAGTCAGGGAGTCTGCTTCAGGATTCTC